GGTAATTTCAGTTATAGTTCACTTCAGCTTCAAAGCAGAGACAGACAGTGACGGGAGAGTGTTAGGCTGTGAACATTTTTCTTCATTATTCTAGTTTGGATCCTCTTTTCTGCTTTAGCAGCATTGCAGAGAGTGCTCAGAAGATGTCCCTAGGACATTTTGATGCTGAAAAGGCTGGCTTTAGGAAGAATGAGGTAATAAGACAAGCGTCTTCTTCCTTCCTCAGTCATCAAGCTTAGAATGGCTCCAGCTTTCTGTTGTAAGACCCCAGAGCGAGCTGCACTCATTTTCTTCGCATCATATTGCCTTGCCTACTCACAGAAAGAGGAGATGTGGCTGGCATCTGTTTGTCGTTATCTAGATACAACCTTTCCTAGGGGTCAGAGACAGGCAAGATAAAGTTCCTTTCAGTGCAGTGATTATCGCTATGTTCAACTGGACCTAGCCTGTGTGCTAAGAACGTGAATGCTATAGCCTGATTCTATGTGAAACTTCCTAACCTAGTTTTTCTCCCTTTAAGTTTGCTGTGTTCTAGACATGAACATATCTACAATTTCTAGAGGCAGGGCGAGGGGGTTCACTGGAAACTTGACTACCAAAGCAAGCCACCACAAAAGTCTTCCTAGGGCTAGTTAGAGATAAAACTTGTAGAGGCAAAAACTTGACTAACTGGAAAAAATATTTTCTTAGTTTTAATGTTAAAGCATATTGCCCAGGATCTGTACATTAGAAAACACTTTTCTAAGCCATAATGGCTATTTCTTGAATAGATCATGTAATAAACGGAAAATATGTAATTCATCGCTCAATTAAGGATGGTCTCTGGAGAATGACCGGGAAACTATTAATAATCACAACAGGACAATCGAGGCAAGGGTGTTCTAGGAAAGTCTCAGGTATAGTTAACCCAGATGGTCCCACTGGTCACTCGATTATCAAAAACCATTTTCCATTGGGGAAATGCTGGGTTGGAATAAGGAGAGCACCATACGTAAAGAACAGGTGGGGAGGGGTGAAATGGTAAGGGTGTTTTGGGAATAAGTTTTCCAATTCCCTGTTGGAAATCTCATATATGGCCTAATGTTAGGGACACCTGCCAACAAGATACTTGAGCTGTTCCTTTTGTGCTGGCAGAGAAAATTCCAGTCCTTAATGAGGTTCATCAGAAAAGGGCAGAGAGGAAAGGGCATAATAACATCTTATCCAAGGGACACAGGGGGTTTGTGCACCGAAGTTGGAAAACTACCGTATTTGTGGTTATTTTTGCTGTGCCACTAACATCCATTTATTCTCTGGTACTGTTGACTGTGTTCCGTAAAGCAGTCTTGTTCAGAAATTGTTTCCCTGTGTATTTCACCGTAGTTTCCTAGTAGGTAGACGCGAGTTCTTGTGATTTTTCCTCTCTTGAGTGTCTCCCGGAGTTTTAAATACACACTGAGTGTTTCATATATACTTGTCGATTGATGTGGTTCCTGGGAGAGCCACCTCTGGGCACTGTGCCTCCTGTTTTCAAGTCAAAGGCACCACCTGCTGATGGGGTGGAGGGGTCTTTTTTTTTCCTGTCCTTTTCCTCTAGTCACCTCATCTTAAAACATCTCATGAGGTTCAGACGTGGTCCTGGCTTCCTCTCAGGGTTTGCACCTGTCATGTTCTGTTTCATGTGGCTTCACTAGCCTATGGCTGTCTTTCTTTGTTTAAAATCACCCCCCCCCCCAGGGAACATATTTATTAAGATGTCCTGTGCACGTACATTAAACTGTCAACTTAATCTAATTAGGAGTCAAATGAGGCATGGCAGCATTTACACCATTTGATAAATTTCCATCATTTACAGGGGGAATGGTGACTTGAATCCAAATAGTCCCTTACAATTTTACAGCACACAAACATTCTATAGCTCTGTAGAGCCCAGGCTTGTAGGTGGAGAGGCATCTTTCTATTTTGGAAGGTGCAGCCCAGTTCAAGTGTGAAAACCAAAATCTTGGTAGCTTCTGGCAGGGCCGTAAAGGAGGGTACCAAGATCTGTACCAAACCAGGGAAACTTAACGAGACTTTATGGATTAGAGTAGGACTGTATTCTGTACTTTCTCCTTCTCTGGCCAATTTTGTTTTTTTTTTTTTTCCTCAGGGAGAGACTTACAGGCGGACAAATCAGTAGATCTAAACTTAAAGCTGTGGACACAATCCAAAGAAATATGCACAGAAAGCTTTTGCAAGCTAAACTGTAAATATAATCTCTTGTTTGGTTTTTATATACTTGCTGATTGGCGTGTTGAGTGTCCTGTTTGAAGGTGAGGTTTAGGCTGGGCTTTCCAATCACTAGTTAGTTAGGATTGCTATAGCTGTTTGGGAGGCTGAGGTGGGAGGTTGCCAGTTTGAAGCTAGCTTGGGCAATTTTATGAGACTATCCAAATAAACCAAGAAAGATATTACTCTAAAAAAATGTACATTTTTATACTTGGAAATGGGCAGGGGAGAGAGGCCCAAGGACTGTTTGCTTGTTTGAAGGGGCTGGTGGGGCAGAGCAAGGAGCTGCTAGGGGGGAGCCCCATGGTGTGGAACTGCCTAGTGAGCAAAGAGAGCCAACCATCCTCATTTGGCTCCTCCACCTTCAGGGGACGCGTCTTTCTTACCTTCACACGACTTCTCTGTTTCATTCACACTCCACTGAGTGTTAGAAAATAACACAGTAGAAGGAAAGCGTAGGAAAGGACGACCTGAGCTTGCTCTCTTTGGGCTTCCTGCGAGGTGTGCCCTGAAAACATGCCTGTGACCTAGTGCTGATGGGCACAGAGGGTGGGCTTCGCAGTGGTGTGGGCACAGGCTCTGGGGGAGGGGATGGTTGCAGAGGGAGGAATGCTCCCTGGGAAAGAGAAAGCCATGGGAGGTTACGGTGGCTGCTTTGCTCAGGTCCAGTATGCTACAGCGGAAGGACGAGAAGGGCCACCAGCGGAGAGGGGACTGCTGGTACTAGCTGCAGGATTCCTTATTCCTTTAGGGTCGAATGAAGGTCACGTGTAACTCCTGTCCAGGACCTGAGGGCATGACTGTGTCAGACAGAGGATGCTGAAAACAGCACGAAGGTGGCCTCTGTCCTCAGTCATCCAGCTTTGCATTGTTCTGGAAACTGCACACAGATAGAAGCAAATGACAAACAGAGGCATGAGACCGGGAGGAAGCAAGTCATTGAAGCCTCTGACTGCAGATAAGCAAGCCAAGGCCATGGGGCTGATCCTTTAGACCTGTGATGTGTTTTGGCCATCCAAGGAGGAACATCTACATTGTCTTCCTCCCCTCATTTACACTTTGGTTTCTTTCCCCATTAAATTTGCTAGAGGAGGGCATACTGTTCATTTCCCATGTCTTACCACAGCACTGAGAGCAAAGCGAGTATTCAATAAACACTTGACTATTGGAACTGAAATGTAGGAAGGGCTGGGTTGGTATCTTTGCAGCTTTTTGTTGTTGCTGTTCTTTTCATCTTTGTGAACACCAGTACTCCAAATACACACCCTTTACTTTTCAGTTATAACTGCCCACTATGCTCTGAGCTCACTGTGGTAGATGCCCCAAGTACACGACCCTCTAAAGATACTTCTGTCATTTATCCAGACAGGGAAGAATAAAACCCAGTAGCTTGGAGGTAACTGATTACTTGAAAGTGTATGAATGTGCAGGCTCGTTTCATCACTTGATGAAAGTGATTTCTCAGTGGCCTGCTGTCCTAACCACTTTATCCACCAAAACCACTTCCACGAAATGTTACCTAGGATGGGGAAAATGTGTAATGTTTGCTTTTCCCTTTACCAGCTGGGTATATAATTCTCAGCCCCTGAACTCATCAAAAGAGTAAGCCGATTCACGGTCCTCTGGGACCACACCTAACAGAGCTTCTCATTGACGCCGCAGCTGATGAAGTTGGAAACGGTCTGCGGGCGGTGGGGGGAGGAGGCTGAAGCAAAGGCGATCAGCAGAGTGTGAAGGGAAGCAAAGCCTTTTACCCCAAGCTTGATCTCTCTAGCGCATCTCAGAGCCTTATTACTCAGTGTCACATTTTATACACCTGTGCCTTTTAGTTTCCATGGAGGAGGAGGTGGTCTGTACAGTGTCAGGAAGGGAAACAACCAATGTACATTGGATATTAAAAATCCAAATAACTCCAAAGGTCTTCAAACAGGGAGACAGGCACACCCACCCATCCATCTGCCCCACCCCCACCCCCCACTGGCTTTAAGGCGAGGCTCAAATGCACCTGGGGGCATGAAATGGCAGCAGGAGGTCAAGGCTGAAATGATTGGCACCTGCTTCTCCCTGCTTTGGGGACAGATTGATTCATGCCTCTTGTTTGGAAAAGACTTGCCTGAAATTTTATGCGACTCAAGGTCTGGACTTCTCCAATGACTGCCTTCAAGGCTCTAAGACAAAATTTAAGCTTTCGATTCCAGGTCCGGTTGGATGGATTACAAGTTCCGAACATGGCTTTATTTTAATTGGTGACTTTAAAGGTGAAACTAGCAACCCCATTCCATCCTCTTCTCTTCAGAGGCTTAGGGGCAAACATAGAAAATGCAACTGAAGCCCAAAAGATACTTTTAGAAGAAACAGGCTCTTTAAGTCAATGAGTACAAAAATTGATTAGATAGGAGGGCACTAATTTCTGTCACACATCAATGCGACTGTAGACAGGATTTTAAATGTTCTTATAATAGTTATCCTTGCTTTGATATGCTAATCATCCTGATGTGATGATCATTCTACAATATATACATGTATGTAAATATCACACTGTACCTCGCAAAGATAAAAGTATTCCCACTTAAGATGCAATTAAATGAAAGGGAAGCCAGGCTTTAAGGACAAGTATAGACCAGCAGTCTTACTCTGGAGATACCTTTGAGCCTCAGAAGGTAAAGTCATGCCTGATCATTCAGCCCCCATGAACCCCCCGGCTGGCGTAGGCCGCTACCAATGAACCCTCGCTTTACGTGGCCGTCACTTACGCCTGCTTTCATAAATGGCTCTCGATTTCTCGTAGAGCTCATATGGGTCAGGCTTCCGTGGGTCAAAGGCCTCTGTTGAGTCGGGAAAGGAGCTCCTGTGAAGGGCAGGTGGGAAGGGCAGGTTCTGCGGTGCGGCCGGAGCAGACAGACTTGTTTGAGGACTGCCCTGATTCTCCCACCGCTCCATCATCTGAAGGAGAAGGAGAACAGAAGACATGACGGTGATGGCTTCAGCATGGCTGTTGCCCTGTTACCATTTACAAAAGGCTTTCCTGCATTTGTGGACTTCTGTCCCTAAGAAGAATTTGGTACGTCAGCCTCTATTTCTCCATGAGAATGTTAACGCACAACCTTGCCACGCGTTAGCTAGGAAATTTTGGCAAATGCTTCATTCCTCTGATTTTTTTTTTCTTTATGAAATATAGCATGTATCCCAAGATAACTTACATGCAGAAAGAGGGTAATATTTGCTTTTTCCTAAGATGGTCCCAATTATACAAATTCTTTAAAACAGAAAATGAAGTAGTCTATGGATATTCATTTATGCTGACCACCTCTTCTAGCTGAAAATCCCATTTCTTTCCCTTCACTTTGTATGTATAGGACCCTCTGGGATCAATGAGCTGCTTTCTTTTAGGAAGTCTCATTCACTGTGGGCGTGGTAATGCCCCCCAAACTCTGTTAGCACTATTGCTAACTATTTCCAAATTGGCCATGCATGATCCCTGATATCACAGCATGGGGGCATCCACGAAGCTAGAATAGACCAGCGGCCTTTTAGCAGGAAGCCTGTTGTTATTGCTAGTTTCACCTTTATTCAACTAGTAGCCCTTCCTTCAGACTTGAGTCCTGTCTCTCTACTTTTAATGAGCAGGCAGTATTTGTAAAGTGGGGTGATGATAGCCTCTTGCCTCAGGCCTTGTCTGTGCTGGGTCAGTGTGGTTCTCCGGATCAAAGGATCACATTTCCATTAGGATGTGGGGGTCTGCTCACCTCGCTCACTCCCACTGATGTTTCCACTCCCACTGATATTTCACTTCCGTCCCTGACTCCCCAGCACTCTTTCCTGCCTCTGAAGATCTGCAGACCCCTTCTATCTCTCCCTCCACCTACATCCCCTCCCTCATTTTACCTGGATACTGGATGCAGATAGACATCTCCTTTACTAGAAGAGCTGGCCTAACCATTTGGGCGGTCCTACTCAACTTTGCTCCCTGACCTGCAGTTCCACCTACTACTCCTAGCTGTAAACACAACTCCTATCTGTAGTAGGTATTCAGAAAGCATTCTTAGTGAGTTAAGGAACTCCTAATTAAAATAGGGACACCTAAAAAAATTTATACGGATACATAGCTTTCTGTTTCCCACTTCATTTTCTTGCTCTTGTATTTATACTGGGTATATTTTAGTCAGAATCCCAACTGCCATTCTTTTGAGTTATCAATACTCATAAGGCTGGAAAACATGTAAGTGACCACATATATCTGTCCTTTCTAGACATGCTGTGGGGTAGCAGCAATCATCCCTTTTGTCCATCCTTCCCACCTGGAACCGTGCAGAGGTTCCTGTTGAAACTAAATAGAGAAAACTTGGGAATAAGTGGGTTGCTGACTTTTAATTCAGTTAAGACTGGATTTAAATTGTTTTCTGTATGGGATCCTGCCCAAGATTTCATTAGATGGTTTTTATAGCCAGCAAGAATGAGCTCAGCTGCCTCACATTAAATATAATCTCTAGAAGCACGGAGAGCCTGAGGTCCAGCAACAGATCTTGGTTAGAACCAACTTTTACTTCTAACAGGGGTATTTTTTTAAACTATAACACCTTGGGGACAAATCTTTTAAGTATCATAAAAACTGAAGCTAATTTTATGCTCACTGGGGCTCACTTCAACTTAATAAAAAGCCCTTAAAATGTATTTCAAACTTAATAGAAACATTGAGAAAGGGAGGAGTTTTTCTTTTCATCCGTAATGGTGACTTTGCTATGACGTACAAGGTCACAACTCAGTCTAAAGGCGCATCTTTCTGAAGTGATCCGTTTAATCCTTTTTAGGTGCCACATGAAGACATTCTAGCTGTGTCTCAGGTCTGTTTCCACACTTATGACGCTGAAAGCTAGCTGGGAGGTGGTGGCCGAGGCAGGTGAACTCCTGTGAGTTCCGGTTGACAGAATGAGTTCCAGGGCAGCCAAGGCTACAAAGAGATACCCCGTCTTGAAAAAGCAAAAACAAACAAACAAATAAAAAAGGCACTAAAAGCTAAAATGTAAGCACAATAGAAACATGGTGGGATATGGGTTAGCATCCTACTTGCCAACACGGGGCTTCAGGAAATGACCTTTCCCCCTACCACCTTTTGCTGTGAATTTTCTGAAATTCATATGTGTTTTGCCAGTGTGCATATTACTCATTTATAACTACTGAAGGAACTGTGCTTCGGGTGAAATATTGGTATTTCTAAAAACAATCATAAAGCTACAGAACAAACAATGCTCTGGGCATTTTAGGGGAAAGTTTCTGTGGCAGATTGACAAATTCTGCGGTTTCTATAGCCCAGAGAGTGGGGAATTAGTCAAGAGTCCAGGTCATGCCTAGTAAAGCATCTGTAACTTCCTGCAATGACATTCATCAAACTTCAAGCCACTCTGTCAGGGTGCTTTCAAAACTGCAGAGTAGAAAAATCCCTGACTGCAGGAAAGTGAACTTCTAGTCTTCTCTACCATGTAGTTCCTGGCCTGCTCCCTCTGAACAGCCTTACTTAGGATTTCCAATCCTGGAGGCTATTTGAGAAAACCTTCAACCTGGGTTGGAGACATCTTATACCCAGGCTGGAAAGCCAGTTCTGTTGACCCCACCTTACTTTCTGTGAGACCTTGGTTTCTGGAGTCCATGAATATCTTGAATCCAGATTTGCCCAGGGCCATGGGCCTTACTTATTGTACCTACTGTTTTCTGGCCAGAGACTTCTCTCACAACTACACTTATTGGGGTTCTCCTGTCTCAGCAGTGACCATAACTGGGTTGACATCTATAAACATCTCACTATGGCAATGGAAATGAAGTAATTTTCCATGTGTGGGGGAAACTTTGCTGTCTTTGGACTAATAAATAGTTAATGAATAAATTAACAAATACCTGCCCTTGTGAAAGCCCTGCCTCTGGACGATGAGTGGATAGAGAAAATGTACAGTCTCTATCCAGACAGCAAACAGAGAAGCTCATTGTTGTGGTAATTGCTCTATCCCCAGCTTCTCAGTCTTGGGTGTGCATGGGGAATCAAGAGCTTAGGAATGAGATAGGTTTTCCCCCAACAAAATGTCATTTCTAGAATTTGTTTTCTTCCTTTTGAGGGCAGGATGAACACAACCTACCAATTCTTTTTTTTTTTTTTTTTTTTTACTTTTTTAAAAAATTTTTATTTTTTTTAATATTAATCACAGGTTATTTACTTTGTATCCCAGCTGTAGCTCCCGACCTCATTCCCTCCCAATCCCACCCTCCCTCCTTCACCTCCTCCCTGTCTTTTTCCAAGTCCACTGCTAGGGAAGGTCCTCCTCCCCTTCCATCTGACCCTAGCTTATCACAACCTACCGATTCTAAACCTACTCCTGAACTATGTTAGGTGGGGCTGGGCGATGAGGACGTTAGTCCTGATCCTATGCTTGTACGCTTGAAAGGTACACCTCGATCCTGCCATGTGAAGACAACGAGAATTCATTGTGAGTAGCATCTTACTTGTTAAATGAAGTTCCTCAGTGCCGCTTAGCTGAGCCCACTCGGGTTGCTAGATCTCAATTAGGATATTTCCTCACTCTAAGTATGGCATCAGTTTTTCTTAGAAGATGGGGGTCTGAACCCAGACAAGGTGGGGATGGTATATCTGTCTCAGCTAACCATTTAGCACATTGCATTCCTTGTGGGGAGTGATTTACTTGCTAAGGGTTTGGCCATTAGCATCTGCTTTCCACGGTGATAGATGTTTCTATTTTTGAGCTCAACCTGTTGAAGCGCTTTGAAAGCACTTTGCATGGATCAACTCAATCCCCACAGCGACAACAGACAAGAGAGTGTCAGCGGTACCCCCATCTTACAAAGATAGTCTTCGAGAGGGTTTAAGCCTCTACTTTCAACCAATAAGGAAAAACAGCAGCACTTGAACCCAGGCAGTATTTAAAAGTCTACACTGTAACCCACTGGACCTTTTACAATACTCTCCTTTCTGGTCCTTAGTCCAAGGAGTTTTGTGTAGATACACAGAGGACATTAAATCAAAGACCTTATATATATTTACTCAGTCTGCAATCTGGAAGTCCAGGCCTTAGCTCTTGTAAAGATGCACAAGTTCAGGATTAATTGTACGTTGAGTCCCATAAAGCCTTTCTGGGAATTATTGACTATGGGGGTAATTACTATAATGATGGCAAATGCTGCAATTATGCCAAATGACATAATTTGCGTGACTGTGGTACAAGTAAGGAAATCACTAGATTGCATAATTGCCTCACCATGATGAGGCTGCAAGGTTCCTGGTTAAATCAGATAACGATGTATATAACCACAGAGCCCAGATTTGAGGTGGGGATGAAAGGATGGAATTGCTTAGAAGCTGGGCAAGGTAAGCTACATCTCATTTCATGCGTTTAAAAGCAACTCTTTCAAAATTGCAGGCACCAGTAAGGGCTTTACGAAGTTCAAAGCACCCTGCTTCCCCTCTTTGATGTATTCTGTGGACCAAATGAGCAGAGTCATAAGTGAGGATCTGCTTTGTGTGTGTCCTGCTTTGCTACTGTACCTGGCCAGCTGTGGGATTTAGATATCCTATTAGGGTAGCTTATTCTAAGTCACAGTAAAAAGGAGATCCAGAAAACCAACCCAGCTTAGGAGACGTAGGCAGTTAATATTGCAAAGCTTGGGTGTTGAAGGCCCATGTACTAAAGACTTGGCCCTTGGGTCAGTATGCCTGAGAAGCAGTGGAACTTGGGAGATGGAGCATACCAGGACTGTATTCTTTAAGAGGATTGGAAGCCTGTAGCCTTTTCCTCTTCTCTTTTGCTCTCTGGCTTGTGATGAAAGAAGCTTTCTTGCAATGAGGCATTGCTTGCTGCACAGGCTTTGATCATCAGAGCCAGCCAATCATAGATGGGAATCTTCAACTATTTCTAACTGCTAAGTCCGCTTAGCTAACCTAGCTTTGTAAAAATCATTATTGAAAGTCAATAATTTAATGTTGGCATGAACTTTCAACACCTTTAAAAGTGAAGGAGGACCAGAGGGTGGTGGTGGAGGTCGCCAACATGTGAAGAACATTAGAAGTACTATGTCAGGTTTATAATGTATAGTTTTTGCAGGAAAAGTTTATTGCCTTATTGATTCATAACTTTACTGCATTGAGTACACTACCACTATGGGATTAGAGTATGGGATTGTCTCTTCGTTTTCTTTTTTATTTATTTTTACTTAGTTATTCACCATACATCTCAATCATATCCCCCTTACCTTCTCTCCTCCCTGTTCCTCCCCTTCATCCTTCCCTCATCCCCATCTCCCCCCTCTTTTGCCCCTCAGAAAAGGGGAACCCCCCTTCCAGCAAACCTGCCCAAGCACATCCTGTCTCATCAGGATGGTATAATGTATATTATATAGAATGATACATATGATATATACTCAGGATATTTATTATATATGATTACACACACATATATTTCTTTCTATAGACCCTGGAATGTAAATAAAAATAAAAACAAGTTTTTGGAGACCACATTTAATCTTCAGGACACACCTTCCAGCCTTATAGGATGCATTAGTTCTGAAGGTCCAAGGTGACTAAATGACCGTATAGTATTCGTGATGGGAAAAACAAAAGGTTTGTGAAGCGTTTTTGTCCTATCGTCCCAAATAATGGTGATACCTGTTTTGTAATGGAGGTCACTATAGAAGCATAAGGCGAGCTATTCTTGTACTGAGTGGGGAGGCCAACAGAAGACAGAAGACTGGCAAAGGTGGCCATGCAGACGTGCATTTTCCTTCTGGTAGAGACGGTCCACGGAGCTAACTGGTAAGGTTTACTGTATGGCTTATGTTCGGTCTTCTTCTGGTTCAGTGAACCCTACAGTTTATATGTAGCCTGCGCTAAGTATATAGATTGTGCATTAAAACTGGTTACCAAGTTGTTAGGACATGAGAGCGAAAACAGGTCCTATTTAATATTTTGTTCATAAGTATTCTTTGTATCGTAGCTAAGGAAATATTTTTTTAAATCAACTGTAAGAAAAATATTAGTACACAAAGTATTTAAAAATGGGCATAATTATGGGAAATAAGATGACTTATCCTGGTATTTGAGGACAACAAAGGGCAGGAGGGCACATGGGGCCTGCTCTTCTGATATCCTGGAATCCCAGGAGGCTGGAAGAACATTTAGGTCACTTAATCCCTGGTTGTTTAAGGGGCTTACATGATAAATAGAAATAAAGAAAGAAGCATAGGAATTCCAACTTACAGGCTTTGGAGTTTTCCATGGAGAAAAGAAACCTGGAATAAAGAAAAAAAAAACATTTGAACTTGGCAAACACATCCCGCTGCCACGCACAGGTTGCATGATGTTACGCTGCTTGTGTTTCAGTTCAAACGAGTCGGACAGCGCCATTAACAACTCTGAGGGGCTGTGAGCTTCCTTCAAAGAGCTCAAGAAAGCTTTTGGGAAATCCATCAGTGAATCGAAGAACACTTTCCTTCCTTTGGAAGCCTAGACTTCTGAGGTGCAGACAGGTGAGTGACAGGGGCGAACATCTGCCCTCGGAGACCCATCCCTGAACCATCCTTAGGGGGTTTTGTCACCCAGCATGAGCAGGAGAGATAAGAGGGGGCAGAGGCATAAAAAGTTAGATTGTTTTCTTAGAAGACAAATATGCCGACTAAGCGTAAGAAATAATTTTGAGTTTATGGATCCATGTTTTCTACTTTAGGCACAACAAATATTTGTTATTCCTATATTTAAAAATAATCAATACATCTCTAAGACAGATCTTATTAAATCTTGCATGTTACTGTTCCCCTATTGATACCCCTCTATTTCAGGTTTTTATTATCTTTATGCTTTGATGCTAGCACATGCTACACGAAGCAGTGCAGTGTTTGTTTTTAAAAGGGAGTGAAAAGATGTGTCAACATAATGGCATAGGGACTGACATATCCTGCCCCTAATAATGCAAAACACGATCTGCCATACACAGGAAAATTACCTTCTTTCTTTCTTTCAACAATTTTGCCCATATTTTTATTAGGTGATATCTCATAAAATGTGCAATAAAAATGAATCATTGAGACTATTCCTCATGCCATGCTTATCATCTTTAAAACCAAGACTTCCAAAATGGGAAGAGTTGACAACCGTGGCCCATTTACAGGAAAAATCTGCAGAAACTTGGACACAGAATTATCTAGATGCTTGAGCAATCCAACTCAGGCATGTAAAAAATGCTAATTATCCCTCGGTGGCCCATTGTGAGACAATGAGCCCTTCCATAAGAACTGTGTAGTCCGTCATGTTTTACAGCCTTCTGTGGAACGGTTGAGCCAGTGTTCAGGTGTAACCACCATCCTGGTAGAATTAACACTTGTCTCATATACGCTATGCCTTTCTTTTTAATGTCATGAAATAACATATAAGGACTTACTCACAATCTATTTGAAAAGAACTGAAGGCAAAATTTAAAGACGTACATACATTTCTTTCTTTGACCATTCTATAAAATGTCAAATACAACAATATAGCCATGAGTTTAAATGTGTGAGGAAAATTAAGCCACTCACCATTTATTTTTATTTTATTTTTATGGGTCCTAATTTTACTTATATAACATTAGTTGTGTACCATCAATGTCTAGTTTAAAGGCTTTATGATATCTTTCTTTTTTTTCCAACTTTTATTAGTTACACTTTATTCATTTTGTATCCCCCCATAAAACCCCTCCCTCCTTCCCTCCTAATCCTACCTTCCATCCCCCTTCTTCTCGAATGCCCCTCCCCAAGTCCACTGATAGGGGAGGTCCCCCTCTCCTTCCTTCTGATCTTAGTCTATCAGATCTCATCAGGAGTGGCTGCATTGTCATCTTCTGTGGCCTGGTAAGGCTGCCCCCCCCCCTCAGGGGGAGGTGATCAAAGAGCAGGCCAATCAGTTTATGTCAGAGGCAGTCCCTCTTCTCATTACTATGGAACCATTTATTTTATCTTTTGAAAAACTTCCTTTGCTTTACAGAAGCTTTTCAGTTTCATAAGGTCCCATTTATTGATTGTTGCTCTTAGAGCCTGTGCTGTTGGTGTTCTGTTCAGGAAGTTGTCTCCTGTGACAATGAGTTCAAGGCTCTTCCCCACTTTTTCTTCTAAGCGGTTTAGTGTGTCTGGGTTTATGTTGAGGTCTTTGATCCACTTGGACTTTAGTTTTGTGCAGGGTGATAAGTATGGATCTATTTGCATTTTTCTACATGTAGACATCCAGTTAGACCAGTACCATTTGTTGAAGACGCTGTCTTTTTTCCATTGAATGGATTTGGCATCTTTGTCAAAAATCAGGTGTCCATAAGTGTGGATTTATGTCAGGGTCTTCTATTTGATTCCATTGATCCACCATTCTGTTTCTATGCCAGTACCATGCCTGACACAGAGGACCTCTGAAAGGCTCTGCCCTGCAGACTATCAATGCAGATGCTGAGACTTACGGGCAACCTTTGGGCAGAGTTCAGGAAATCTTAGGAAAGAAGTGGGAAACAGTAAGATCTGGAGAGGACAGGAACTCCACAAGGAGAGCAACAGAACCAAAAAAATTTGAACACAAGGGTCTTTCCTGAGATTTGATACTCCAACCAAGGACTAGGCATGGAGATAACCTAAGACCCCTGCCCAGATGTAGCCCATGGCAGTTCAGTAACCAAGTGGGTTCCATTGTAATAGGAACAGGGACTGTCTCTGACATGAACTGATTGGTCTGCTCTTTAATTGCCTCCCCCTGAGGGGGAAGCAGCATTACCAGGCCACAGAAGAAGACAATGCAGCCACTCCTGATGAGACCTAATTAACTAGGATCAGAAGGAAGGAAAAGAAGACCTCCCCTATCAGTGGACTTGGGGAGGGGCATGCATGCAGAGGGTGGAGGAAGGTAGGGATTGGGACGGGAGGAGAGAGGGAACCACAGGGGGGATACAAAGTGAATAAAGTGTAATTAATAAAGAATTAAATTAAATTAATAAAAAGAAAAGAAAAACTTCCAATGAAAGTTTCTTTTTTTTCTTCTTTTTTTTTTTGAGAAAGATGCCGTTTATACATTTTTGCAATATCCAAACATCCAAGTTTCCTTCGTCTCCTCCCTCTCTCTTCCAGTGCTGTCTGTCTTCAGGATTCTAGCTATTTGCCAGGTACTGGGAGTTCTTCTGACTTTGATACAAAGTGCTTTAAGCAGTCCCTCTGTTAGGGAGCTCTTGTCTCCACATGCAAAATTATTTAAAAAAAAAATCCTTCCTCCTAGAGAAGATGTATAATCACCTGACCCCTGCAGCAGTTACGATGCCAGAACCACAACGGCCTAAGCGGGGCACAGACAAGGAGAGCGGGTGCTGAAGAACCACCTTTCACCAGACCCCCAGCTTCCTTTCTCATAAAGCTTTCCTTCAGGCTGCCTGCACAGCAGGGCCCAGACCCAGCACATCACTGTTCTTACTGAGGCAGTTTCTGGAAGGTGTCCACTGCTGAGAAGCAGTGAGTGCCAGAGGCTGCCCTCTCTCAGCGTTACCACGAGGAGTTCAGAGGTAGGTGAGAGGAGGTCTCATAGCATATTCCTTAGAAGCAAACAATGTACAAGTTATTAATCATGCTACTGTTAGGCCCAGCATGAGCCTAATATATAAGAAGGTATGAAGAGAACCCAGGAAACTGATCATCCATTGATGCAAAATAGCAAGAGGTTCATCTTGACCATTGCGCAATGGGGTCACCCCTGCTGGTCAGCTAGGAGTGGCACCAGGAGACAAAGACCTTAGGTTTTTAAAAGACAAGGCTCGGGGAATTCTAGGGGTTGCCTTCTTGGAAATTCATGATTGGATGAGGTGTTTAACTTTTAAAATAATTGGTTGGTTCTGGGCACCCTTAGGTCTGCTCAGTCCTGTCATAAATATCTGATCTTCAAGTCAGTTTGGAACTTCTTGCCATATGAGATATAGCCATAGTTAAAGGTGGGAGAGTGACTAATTCATCCTGTGTCTGTTCTGAGGAGTGGGGGTTACAGGCTTTGGATGATAGGTCAGGAGCTATGCAGGGGAAGGATTGGGGTCATCTGGCCCGGTTTTCAAACAAAGCTCATTTCACAGGTGCCAGTCGGTGATTTTCTCTCCATTTAGTAGAGATCTCTGCTTGTTCTCTTCCTTATCTCTGCCCTCACAGATGGCTAATGTCAGGGACTTTTATATTCCCCGGCTCTCTGGAGAAGCACTAAGAGGCTTTAATTAATATGGGCCTAAAACTTGAAAATATAAGTTATAGGGCAATTAAAGAAACATAGGTTACAGAGTTAGTCTGATTCTTTCACTACAAACATTTAAATCCATGTGATTAGAAACAGGCATCTCGGGTGCACATGCTTTAGTCCTGACTCAGTCAGAGGGTCATGCTTTCTACGTGATTAGCCTTCCACTCAACCTCACTCATGGAACTACAGAAAGACTACAATAGACTGGGTCAAAATATTCTATATTACAGATGTGGTGTATACTGTAATTTCTTGATGGCCTCCCTAGAAAACCTAGTCTATTCCAAGAAAACATTTAAAGAAAAACAGCACAGAGAAACAAAGGAAACCTTTTAAGAGACATTTTTTTGTCATTGTATTGAGGTTTATTTCTGATTTTGTTTTCTGGTAAGAGAAGGCCACAGACTCCCAAACAACCGGAAAGCCTCGGCCATATGCACACGCACATACTTACATATGCATGTGTATGGCGAGTATATGCAGTAACTTCCACCGGCATTTTTATTTAAAATGTCTGGCTGCATTTTGTTCTTTTAGTTTATTTCTTCTACCACAGGGATGCCCATCTCCTGGTCTCTTGACACACACGTTTCCTGGTGCCCTATCTGTCTCTGTCCTCTGCATTTTACTAGTTTTTTTTTTTTTTCTTTTTCTTTTTTTTTTTTTTTGGCCTTTAACCTTACTCCAGGGAAACAAGGAGAGATGTAAACTCCTTTTCCTCAGGCCTTTTAGAGCTAAGGCCTTCTTCCTTATAAAACCAAGGCCAGAGGAGAAGGGCTTTTCCCCCCCTATAAAATAATAGCAGTGGCTTCTTTATGTTTTGGTTTCTGGCTTTTAGTCCCTCCGTGCTATAAAATGTGTGTATTAGAACTCTCCCGAGGGATTGAAATTTGGTTTAATTATTTGTCTCATTATGTCTATATTGGCCATTTGTATTGGTCTTTCATGTTCAACAACATACAATTCTGTATGCTTACAAATTCAAACGCATTTCTTGAGTTCTGAGACTACAAAA